CCTCCTCCTCCCTCCCGGCTCCAATCCCCACGTTCCGCCCGCTCCCCGCCCCTCGGCCTCCTCTCCTCCCCACCTTCTCCCGCGAACCCACACTCACAAAGAGGCGAGGGGAAAGAGGGTGCGCAGACGGCCAGCGGGGCCGAGCCAGGCACATACTGGAGACAGGAAGTGGCTGAGAAGGAGAGAGAGAGTTGGAGAGAGACGGCCGCGGAGGACACGGGGACGGGAAAGTCTCAGAGACGGGGAGAGCCTGACCCGGCGGGACACAGGCAAAAAGAAACACGCGAGCCAGACAGACGCAGAAGAAACGGTGGGCGTAGGTCCAGAAGAAACTAGGAACAAGGAGACAGGGAACTGCCGCGCAGCCTCAGCCTCTCACCCTGCCGACAGGAGTGTGCCTGGTTGGGTCTGACCTGAGAGTACCACCCGTGGCCTACCCTGCTGGTGCTAGCGTCCCCTACCCCAGGCGGGCGCCTGAATCAGGTGAAGACACCTGGTGTTACTTTTGGCCCAAGTCGCCGGACACCCTTCCCTGGTCCTCTGCCTCACAGGAGACCTCCTGGGCTAGTATTCTGAAAGGATTCACAGCTGAGGACCTCTCCATCAGGCTCAAGCCCCCATCTCCACCCGCAAGCAGCTCCAGCCATCCCATCCAGTGCCCTGCTTCGTTTATTCATTGAGACGGAGTCTCTGTCGCCCAGGCTGGAGTGCAGTGGCGCGATCTCGGCTCACTGCAACCTCTGCCTCCCAGGCTCAAGCGATCCTCCCACCTCAGCCTCCCTAGTAGCTCGGACTACAGACGGGCGCCACCACGCCCAGCTAATTTTTTGTGGAGATGGGGTTTCGCTTTGTTGCCCAGGTTGGTCTCCAATTCTTGAGCTCAAGCGATTCCCCCTCCTCGGCCTCCCAAAGTGCTGGGATTACAGACGTGAGCCACCATGCCTGGCTCATTGCCCTGTTTTGAAAGAGCTGGACCGTCATTCCCACTCTGCAGGAGACCTCTGAGAAGGTCTTCCTTACATTTAACTTGAGTCCAGGCTTTCCAAATGGAGATGGAAGTTCTTTCTATGGTCTGACTTCATTCTCTTCTTTTGCAGTGCCTGGTACTGGAAGGAACTTTATGGAATGGAGCTAATGGGCCCTAGGGCAGGTTCCAGTTGTGCCACCCTGGAGGGGAAGGTGAAGGGTAGGGATAAGGTAGGGGATATCTTCCTAGAAGTTCTGAACTTACAGCCATTCCTACATTCCCCAGCGTCCTTTAGCAGTGAGCACTTCCTGAAACTTTCTCCCTCCGCCCTCCCTGCTGGATTTTCCATGATGAAAAGGGGCGGGGTAAGGGAGGTTGGGATTCTGAGAACCCAGTGCCCAGGGCTCAATGTCCAGTGCCTGCCCAAAGCAGCCAGTACTACTGGCTCTAAGGCCTTCTTTCCCTCCCTGTCTCATCTCAGCTGGGTCCCTTCTGTGCTCATCTTGTCTTTGGCAAAGGCTGAGAAGACTGGTTCTCATTTCCAGGGGGTGGAGCACCTGATTCCAATCTTGCAGCAGGGAAGAAGAGTCTGTGAAGCAGTGCGTGATGACGGTGTGTCCCCCCCACCCAGAAATTGGCATTTGGGAGGGGTGGATATGGTTGGGACTGGGAAGCCTTGATCTTACTGCTCTTGGTTGAGTTGGTGTTCAGTAGACAGTTTCAGAGGTTAGAGCAGTGGGAGTCACTGGGCACTGGGGACAGGAGAGGAGGGGGTGGGGGGAGCCAGGCAGGAACGAGTAGGGAGGCACTGGGAAGAGGGGAGAGGCAAGAGTTAGGGGAATACCGAGGAGAGTGGCAGGGATTGGAGGCTTCTGGAGAAAGGGCAGGGCTGAAGGTTGTCCCATGTATTTTGGCCAGATTTGATTACGTAATCGAGATACACGAGATAATTAAATGTGTTCATGTCTTTGGAGCCTTCAACCAGCTCTTTTAACATCTTGCTCTTCCCAGCATTCCTTAGGGTCTTTGGCTGGGCCTTAGAGGATGGATGCTGTGGCAGTACCTTTACCTCAGCTGTAAAGTTACCAATGGAGAGACTGGGACTCAAAGAGGAACTTGATTGGACCCCAGAGAGGTGAGGGGTAAGGGCTAGAACCTCACACATGCTGGTTTTGCTGCTGCCTGGCAGGCCCATGAGAGGAACTTTAAGGTTCCAAGGAATGGGAAAAGGGTCACAAGATGGGTGGTCCACCTCCCAGCTCTGGCTTGATTCCTACTCTCAAACTGGGGATAGTGGGGAAGGGAGCTGCAGGAAGGAATCTGATGAGAAAGGCTGAGAATAAGAAGTTATGCAGGAGGTAGCTTGGTGGGAGTGAAACAAAAATGAAAGGTTCATGGGCCAGCCAGGCATCCTGATTTCCAGCTCACAGCAGCAGGAGCTTCAGAGAGGAGGGAGAAGGGGAGGAGGAGAAAGCCAGGTTGATATTAATAAAGGCCAAATAATTTCAGGAACACCTCTGGCCTCCCTCCACACAGGTTTTCTTACCTTGACTATGCAGAGGGTGGTCCATCTTGGCACTGAAGGTGGAACCCCCTCTTCCATGGTCTGGGGTGACCCCATGCCTGTTACTGAATGTGCTCAGATCCTTGGGGTGCAGGGACTGTAGGGGGAGGATTTGAAGGTGTGGGATTGTCCTGGCTGGAGACCACTGGGTCAGGAGAACTCCAGTAGAGGGTTTGGGTGCTGGGAACCAGGAAGAGTGGGGGAAGGGGCAGAGCCAACTCCAGAGGCGGATCTCCTGGCTGAGGACAGAGGGTGTATTGTCCAAGCAGGAGGTTGCTGCAGCTGGGCGGGGAACAGCTCAGCCCATCTCTTCCAAATTTCTTTTGGGGGAGGGTAAGGGAAGGCAAGTCCCTCTTTACTTGTGGCCCTGGGGGCTACAATGGTTGCGGAGAAACAAGGCTTATTTGACAAATAATGCTTCCCAGGAGCAGATGTGTAGCTCTCTCACTTCCTGAGAAACCAGATGCTGTGAGCTCGCTTAGCACTTGAGGCGACGCCCTCAGCACGAACTGGGACCCTAGTGCCTTGGGATCCAGAGTATAGTGTTTGATTCTATTGAGAAGAAACTAGGCTAATGTGGACTGGGATACACGTGGGACCTAACCAGCCTCAAGTTAGCCCTTGTGAAGTAGGATGCTGCACCTGCACTTTCCCCCTACTTGTCCAGTAGTTCAAGATTTACAAGAGGTTGGCAATGAGGGCTGACCACTCCTGGGTCCACTTCTGCAGCTGGGAGGCTTCTGGGTGGACCCACACTTTTTTTTTCTTTTTTTTTTTGAGACAGGGTCTTGCTCTGTTGCCCAGGCTGGAGTGTAGTGGTGTGATCACAGCTCACTGCAGCCTTGACCTCCTGGGTTCAAGTGATCCTTTGTCCCGAGTAGCTGCGACTATGGGCATACACCACCATACCTGGATAATTTTTCTATTTTTTGTAGAGAAGGGTCTTGCCATGTCGCCCTGACTGGTTTCAAACTCCTAGGCTCAAGCGATCCTCCTGCCTTATCCTCCCAAAGTGCTGGGATTACAGGTGTGAGCAACCATGCACGGCTAACACACATCTTTTTTTTTTTTGAGACAGTCTTGCTCTGTCACCCAGGCTGGAGTGCAGTGGTACGATCCCGGTCCACTGCAGCCTCTACTTCCTGAGTTCAAGTGATTCTTCTGCCTCAGCCTCCTGAGTAGCTGGGACTACAGGTGTGTGCCACTACGCCTGGCTAATTTTCATATTTTTAGTAGAGACAGGGTTTCACCATACTGGCCAGGCTGGTCTAGAACTGACCATGTGATCTGCCCTCCTTGGCCTCCCAGAGTGCTGGGATTACAGCCGTGAGTCACCGCACCTGGCCACACACTTTATGAGGATGTGGCCATACACAGGGCCTTCCTCTATACGCTTTCTGTACACAGCCATCATAAACCTCTTTCAATAAGCCTTTCTTATTTTTGTTCCTTCTTTCCATCATTTACCTAAACCTCAGTATTGCACAGCTAAGAGAGTGGCTTGAAACAAAAGCTTGGAGAATATGACTGAAACTGATTCCAGTGGTAGAGAGGCAGTGAACAAGCATTACCTTGTAGGTTCCCCAGGCAGCCTGGACGATAGGGGCACCTAAAGCCACATTGAAAAGCCTTCACATCATCACAGCTGAGTCTCATATCCCTCAACTTTGCCAATTTTGGAGAACAGAAAAATGCACTGGCCAGAAACTAGAAGAGCAGCTGTTCCAATTGGCTGGGAAATGCCATTTGTGTTAACTGGCTCCTCCTCTTGGCTCTTAAATCCCCAAAATTGTTGACTGAGGTTTTCCCGGGCTCCTTTGTATGCTCCACCTCCTTGTGACCTTAGGGATTCTCTGCCACTGTCCTAACCCCTTTCCTGCCTTGCAACAATGACCAGTCTGTCCCTAGCTGTTTGGAAAATTCCCAGAGTCTGTAAGCCTCTGTTCTGGTAACCTTGACCAGGTTGTCACCAGTATCTCTGGTCCACCAGTGCAGTGCTGACTCAAGGGAGCAGCACCTCTCCAGATTGCTGAAGTAAGGGAGGGAGATTATGAGGGAACTGCCCCAAGGACGCAAGGATTCATTCTTAGAGTTCCCACATCTTGATTAAAATAAACAGTACAGGAAATAGACTGCAAGCACATCCAGGTGATTAAATAATTAACGCCAGGCCAAAAAACAAGCAAGAGGGGAGCTGGGATGCAAACTGTATTAATGGGCCTCAATAAACATTGTAATGGATTACCTTTTAACCCCACCCTCTGACCTTGGACAATATGGTATCTAATGCTAAATGAAAACTTCAGAGATGGTGGGGGAAGGAGGAACAGGCAGTCAACGACTCCAGTAGAAACCACTGGGAGTGCCGGGCGCGGTGGCTCACGCCTGTAATCCCAGCACTTTGGGAGGCCGAGGCGGGTGGATCACAAGGTCAGGAGATCGAGACCACGGTGAAAC